TTCGTGGAAATTGAGCTAGATTTAGCAAAAGACAGCTATATTTGTGTAAAATATTATTATTTATACTTCTACTTACACAGATATTTTGATAACTGCAGTTCAGCCGTCCATTTTTCTTTTAAAATGTATCTTTAGAATTTCTGTACCTTTTGGCAATCGGTCAGGAGCATTTGCGCACTAAACCCACCCCCCTACGGCAGATCCGATTTTTTTCCCAGTGAACTCGTACTGACCTCCCACATAGCTAAGATAGTACATTGATACTGATGGGAAAGCCTCTAAATCTGTATTCCTACTAGAGATCTAGAAATAAATCTAGATCGTGGAGTTTTTATAATAACTTTTAAATTGAATGTCTCCAGTTTAAGATTTTTTTTTTTCAAAACATAGCTACTTTTAGTACTATATTTTAAGTATTTCAAACCCTTTTGGTAGTTTTTTCTTAAACTTAGACCTAGATCTAGTGATTAGATATCTATATTTTGTACTTATAACTTGCAGGCCTATTAAAATAATAATAAAACAGTTTGCTTGATAACTTCATTAGGTCATTTCATAAACACAAATGTTATAAACATATAAAAATCACAAAACCATAGGTAATATCTGAATTCTGTAGCCTACCTTACATTTAGGCTAATACTGAATTAAAAAGAAATTACATTAAGGTTTGAAATTAATACAATTTGTAATTAAGAAAGAAAGCTTCAATTCTAAATACTACAAGATATAATAACAAACAATGAAACAAATTCAAAGCTTTTTTCAACCCATTTAGTCGAAAAGATTTTTATTTTTTCCGATATTGACCAAAATAAGTTTTTAAAGCTTAGGCCTACTGTTTTTACAAACATAACTCAATTTTATTAGGCCCCTGTAATCATTAATTAAGATTCCTCTGTAGACAAAGAAATCTATTTGGCAGATGAAGTAGAGTTCATGTTTCTTGACCTCGGCATATGAAGTGATTGTCCGTGTGGTCAGCGATATTCACAGCCGCCTTTACTTTTTACCTTTAATTTCCCCAATGTATATCAGGTACCCATCAGAAATGGGTGGACTCTAATTGAATTTTATTAAACAAACATTTTGATATAGGCCTAGATCTATAATCTATAACATTCCAAACATCTGTTCTGTAGAATTTACCTTTCTGCTTCCAAATGCGGTATTTTCCAATTGAAAATTCATCACAAAACATACAATAAATTATATAAATGGCATTTTATAAATTTATACAAACTATTTACTTTCACCTTGGTGTAAAAAAATGTAGGTATAAGCAAACTGATTTCAATAGTAAGAAAGAATCATGTCTTTTCTTGCTTACTAGCTTTAAAACAAGTGAATTTGACTTTTTACCTGCGTTTTTGGTCGCGTTTCTATATATTTTATTTGCGACACTAAAAAAATTATATTTAATCAACCAATTATGCTAAATTAATAAAATTGGTACTGTTGGATTGCATTTTTAAAGCTCTACAATTATATGCTATTGTGTTTTTAATTTGAAGAAAATTGAATTTATATGAGACTAACTACATAACGCAATGACCCTAATAACTGTGCAGTTGGCACAAATTATCCCGGAGAATTTTTACACCGGTGTCCGATAATGGAATCGAAGTGACTACGCGTCTCGCAGAGTGTGGCCCTTAACAAAGTGACTACGCGTATCGCAGGTTGGATTTGCCATCTTCATTCTTGTGATTGAAAATGCTTACTTTTTACTGTCTCCAACACATCCGGTGTGGTTAAGTCAACGGGTGTGGGGAAATTGCGAGACGCGAAAAGCGAAATGGCGAGGCGGGAAAATGCGAGAAGGTAATGCGAGACATACCTGCGGAATTAAGGGTAAATAGCGAGACACTTTTTGCGAAAAAAGTTTTTTTCTTTTTTTTCCATCTTAATTTATTTAAATTATTTTTTTTTTTTTTAAAATAAACAAGCATTTAGCCATACCCTTTAACACGAGTGTTGTATGTTGTTATTTTTTATCTAGATACTAAGAAGATAGATAGATCTAGATCTATCTATTTAAAAATCCTAACATCGTTGCTGTGCTACTGTCATCGCCCGCTCTTGTTAGCAAGAGGAAAATCCCGTCTCAGTCAGCATTAATTTAAAAATCTAGCCCGCTCATGTTTATACAAACGTGAGCTGTGTCATTGTGAATTGGTATAATCTTGTCAGCAGGAGAGATATTTTGCAACATCTATTTATGGATTTTTGTACTTGCAAAAAGTCATTTATGGAAGACCCCAAAATAACACCACCACCAAAACCAAAAATTTTTTAAAACTTGGTTTTAAAAATATTTGAAGTAGGCCCATAGCTTACGATATAGCACGAGCAACTGATAATATCGGTGACGTCACTTTATTTTTTCCCCAAACAGTAAGTAAGAGAAAAAAAACTGGGGGCATTAAGAGTTCATAAAAGCTTAGGAATAAGCAACACATAAGGGAGGGTTAATCTAGTCCTCGCCTTCACATAGGGCAGTAATTGCATACTTAATTTGATGTTATTTTTTCTGACTTATTTATGGAAATAATAAATAATAAATTTTTATATATATTTACAATTAATTAATAAATAATAATATAACATTTATGGGAAAATTTGGAAAAGTCACAACCGTGATATAAAATCTAATATAAATTAGTGTATCCAAATGATGTAGGCATTTCCTTGTGCTTAGATTTATATGGTAAAAAAAGCTAGAAAAAAATCGTAGGCGGCGGCTATAATACAAAATTTCTATGCAACAATAGAAAATATGTTTGCGGCGGCAGCGGATCCGGGCACGGCGATCTTCAAAGACGGTAAATCAGGCGGCCTCGGCGTTCCACACAAAAGACAGAAGTTGATCTATCGTCGGCGGTATTTCCGTCGGTTTCGAACAAGGTGGTATTCTAAGTCGACACAAAAGATGGGGGGAGTTGACAAATCATCAGTATGTCTAGCGACGAAAAATCGGAAGTTTTAACAATGTAAACGAAACGTCTTTGAAGTCTGGACCAAATACCACTGAATATCGGGTGCGGTAAATTTTTCGCAGAAATCTTCGCATTTCAACACTACCCAGCGTAAGTATCGGGTTGTGGTAAAATGCGAGACAAAAAAGTCACGTGACCGACCGTTTTTGCGCCCTTCTCGCATTTTCCCGCCTCGCCATTTCGCTTTTCGCGTCTCGCAATTTCCCCACACCCTAAGTCAACAGTGTGCCAGCTGTAGGTCATAGATGGTAGACCTGGTGCACTGAGTTTGAACCCGGGGTTAGCATGAGCGGTACTAATGTCTTTTTTACATTTCATTTTTTTTCATATTGAAAACATGAGGTGTGATTCTTTTTTTTTTAAATAAACTTTCCAAACATCATCACTGGCGTAATTGCTTGCTTACGTTTACTATCCCGTGAGTGAAAAATCTCATCATGGTCGGCGGTGCCACTGTGAGTTCAGCAGGCCTAAAGCATACATCATAGAATGAACACAAGTACACTTAAACTAGATCTATGTCAACATTAACAGCTAACAAGAAAAAAAAATCAGGCAGTCCTGATATCTATTTTTTAGATCGCGTGCCACCTAGGGTAAAGATTTAGCATCACGCTGACAGAACCACGCAAATGCGGCCTAATGGAATCCTCTTTTAAAAAGGGGTGTTAGGTTACTGGTAGTTAACTAAATACACACATGGCTGACTAATGTAAATGCTAACCCTCTCCCTAACCCCAATCCAGGTCCTACCATAGGCCTAACCCTAATTTCTAACCATAAAATTAGTCGAGATTACAATACTACTAACAACCCAACACGCCTATTTTATGGAAGAGTCCATTTTCGGACACCGGTATCTATAATCATCAAATTATCCTTACATTTTTGCGTAAATGGAATCAAATTACTTACCCTTTAGCCTTATTCTTGTGACAAAACTTTTTGTACCGTTTGGTTGAGTAGTAACGCTTCAGACGGGTCGTCAGGGTTTGATGGTTCATAGTATTAGTATAGTTAAAGTACATCTATTAAAGAGTTCTATAATTGTAGCACTATGTGCATGCACATCTTCCAGCTAGTATTGCCAATTTATTTAATATTTATCAACACAATCGAGATTCTGTAGGCCCTAATATAATTATTTTACTACTTTTAGGGCAGTAAAAATCTGCCAAAGCTAGTAATATGAAAGAAAGTTGTGACTGGTTAAATATTAGTGATTATTTAGCAATTTTCTGAGGATTTATGTTTTAAAAGTTACAAATATGTTTCATTAATGTGGTTATTCTCGCTAAATCAAAAATTTTGTCAATTTGAACATGCCCACTAAATAATAAACATCCATATTTAATCCATTAGGCACTAATTTTGAGGGTTTTAGCTCATTTTAGACTAAATTACTTCATTTAAAATTTATTGTCACTCACAGCTATGATACGACACACCCCTCCATAACAACCACCTTTGTGTTTGAAGCTACAAAAAGCCATGAATCCGGTTTGATTTTATAACTGGCTATGCACAAGAGTTCCTCACTAGTGATCACCAAATAGTGGTCACGTTTTTTTTTTTTTTAAATTTTGAAGTCATTTTCTTGGTTGGCCAGTCTTATAAAATAATGACTGACAATATTTGATTTATTTTTTCATAGATTGATAAACCTAATACTGTTTCAGTATGGAAATCAAACCTATAGTTTGTTGTTATACCGAAAAAAAAACCGCCATTTTGCTCGTGGTAAACATTTTTTAAAAGCAATTCATAGAAGGTCACTGGAATATGGCAGAAAAATCGTCGGAAGTCGTGAGTCCGGTTCGGACGCCATATTGTTGTGAGCAACCGACCCCGCCTCCAAGTTAGCGAGTAATACTACATTAAGGCTTACAAGTTTTTAAAATTATTTTTTATTACTTTTCCATAGCCTAAAATTTTATTATTATTTTTATTTTTATGCTTTTTTTTTATTCCTAAAAGTTAATCTTAAAATATTTGTTTTAGGTTTGAAGCGGAAATCCAGGTGCCTGGGGGCCCCCCACCACCTGGTCGTGGTTTCATCCTAGGGGCCAATACCTACGACCGTGTACAGGCCCAGCTGTCTTCACTCAGACAGGAATCCACAAGACTTCAGCAACAGCAGATGGGAAGAGTAGAAGATGATGATAATGATGAGGATCTAGAGGATGAAGACCTTAGGATGCAGGACAATGATTATGGTGTAGGACATAAGCGGGGGTATCCAGACGATGAAGAGGACAATGAGTATTATGATATAGATGAAAGGCCGGGTAGGCCTCAAGGACCCTTAATCCCTCCTCCCCCACCTCCTCCGATAATACCACATCGACATCCACCATCTCATGCACCTCAAATGATGGGTGATATGTCACTAGCAAACAGTAAGTTGATTAACCTTATATGTATTGTCTATAAAAGGAATAAAGTAACCATTTTTTTAACTGTCCTATTGATTAAACAGTTAATTGACTTCATTTATAGTTTTTTTTATTGTAGTTAATATTCAATTTAATTATATATAATATTTTTAAAATGCTGACAGCAAAACTGTTAATAATTGGTTTTTGTTGTAATGATTTTAATTTAAAACAAAGATTTAAAATTTAAATAGTTCTTTTCTTTTTTAGTATACATTTTTAAATTTTAGTGCGAATGTTTTTTTATATTTTATTTCAACTTGTATGAAGTAACTTTTTAGGACATTATTAAAATGCGTTGTCGTTTTGTCTTACATAACTCATTAGAGTTTCTACAGGTTAATGTTATGAGGTTTAAACAACATATCTCAAATGTAATTATTTTATCCTTTATTTTAACCTTTGTTGAAAGAATATTAAGTATTGAGTCCTTAATTTTGTTTAAATGAAACTAAATGAGCATGTTCTTTTGATCCAGTGTTTGCACCGCCACCGCCCCCTCCACCCGAACCAGAAGATGGGGAAGAGGTCTCTACACTGTCATTTAAGCCATACGCTCCGGGAGAAGGCCCTTGTGTACCTCGGCCAGCGTTCATGCCACCCCAGTTAAGACAGCGACTACCTCCACCAAATGCCCGGCCACCCTTTCCTCGGCCTCCCATGCGCATGGGTGGGCCTTACGGTGGTCCTATGGGGCCCCCCAGGCATATGATGGGACCTGGTCCTAACATGGGGCAGATGGGCCCAGGCATGATGGGACCACAGGGTCACATGGGTCCTCCTGGACCTCCAATGGGGATGCCTGGTGGCCAGCCAAGACCTCCAGGGCTGGAAGGCAGCATGCCATTTATGGGCCCCATTGACGTAAGTATTTTTATTACCATAGTCAGAGTTTCTTCCAGGCATCTCTTCGGGGGGCAAAGCCCCCCGAAAATTTTTTACCGCCCCCCCCCCCCGAACGAAATGAAATTTATATAATTTATATAGAAAATATATACTTTTAACAGTGTCCGCCCCCCCGAAGAAAGTTTACCGCCCCCCCGAAGATTTCAAGTGCCCCCCCCGGAGAAAAAAGTCTGGAAGAAACACTGACCATAGTTGGTGTGTCTTTTGTTTAATTTAACATGTGTTATATGTAAAGTAAGATATTTTATTTGAAATTAAAATAAAGGTTAACTTTATTAAGCTACTATGTTTAAAATTCAATTGAAGATGTCAGTGTCATTTTTATACTGTGACAAAAAACATGCAGATGTAAGGTAAAATAGAAAATCATTAATTCTTAGACCGTATTCTATCATTTTTCCCATATAATTTTTTTAGCCTCCACAAATAATCAGAAAACCAGCCGTTATTGAACAGCCTAAGCTTGTATATTCTGCTGCCCCGGTCATTAACATTGACAGAAAAACAGAAGGAAAAAAGAAGAAAAAGAAAAAAGGAAAATCCGAAACTGATGCCACTGATAGCAAAGGTAATTAATAATTGGTTATTTAATTAATAGAGAGGATCAACGGAGATCATATGGTCAGAACCTAATAAAACTATAGAAGCAACATAATATTAGTGAAACCAGATAATAAAAGCTAGTTTTAATTTATTTAGTTTAAGTTGACTTTCCTTTTCTATCTCAAGGAGTATTATGTAAGATTTTAGTACATAATTATAAATTAACATGTCTAGTCAACACTTTAAAAAATTTCTATGTTTTTATGTAGCAAAAGATCCTGTCAGTTCCAATTCTACAAGTCAGCCCTCCCACACAACAGCTGAGGAGGAAAAACCTCCCGCTGCAGTTGAGGCTGTTCCTGACCCTCCCATGATGACTGGGATGATGGGAGGAATCAACTTGAACCCTGCTGTTCCTGGGAACGTGCCAGGGAACCCGGCTAATCCTACAGGAAAAAAGGAGAAGAAAAAGAAAGAGAAGAAATTTATACGTCTTGCTGCAAATACAACTTGGGAGGATCCAACTCTAGCAGAATGGCAGCAAGGTAATTATTTAAATATTTTACTATTAATTATTTAGGAGGGGTGGTACTCTAATAATGATATCTGTAATTAAAGGCATCTTACCCCAATCTTAATTAAATTGGTTTATTAAAAATCTTCACCTAGTTAAGAATAGTTGGTAAATGTGTTGAATATTTATCCTAAATCTAAATGATAAAAAAATTTTCTGTTTTTATTCAGATTAACTATTTTAAATTGTCACTGCTAATCATTATTTCCTCTAGTTAACATGTAATTTCAAATGCTTAACAAATGTTTAAATAAACGCAATTTTCCATATGTAGACGACTTCAGGATGTTCTGTGGTGACCTGGGAAATGAAGTGACAGATGAGACTTTGGTGAGGGCATTCAACAAGTACCCAAGTTTTCTCAAGGCTAAAGTTGTGAGAGACAGACGAACCAACAAGACAAAAGGTTATGGCTTTGTCAGCTTTAAGGATCCTGTAGATTTTACAAGAGCTATGAGAGAAATGAATGGTAAGAGTTTTTTCCTTGTCTTTATTCTTCCTCTTGCTAGAACCTCTTGCTACAATGGTTTTTCTTTCTTTCATTGTATTTTATTATTTTAAGTGCATTGCAATCTTACAAAAAGCAAATGCTAGCTACGCAATTAGCTAATGACTCCCATGATACATGATGATAAAATCTCTTGTTGTTGGGAATAAAAATGGATCCATTTCTATTTAGAAAATTAAAATTGTAGTACTAGATAAGATTCTTTCTTCTGATTTCTGTTATTATTTTATCTTTTTTAAATATTACTGAATCCTTAAGTTAGTGGATTGGTAGTTTGATTACCTATCCAGCAGTTTAATTTTCGTTTCAAAATACATCAAAATCATAATCATTTAATATAACTGATAACAATAGAGAAGCTCCAAGATGTTTACTTTTGTAAATCTGAATATTTCTTACTTCTATGAAAGTTTTATAAATTATGAGAAAAATTTAAAAATGACCCAGGTATTAAAATCAACAAAGAAACAAAACTATTTACAGAAGTTTAAATAAATATTTATGTAGTCAATACTGTTTGAATATTCGACATAGATATTTTGAATACAGATATTTTATATGTTGTATCATATTGGCATGGGATTTCACTGTTTTGTTTCACATTAATTATTCATGCATTGACACAGTCCTTACAGACTATCAGTTTTAAATTTACTTTAGTGCAGTATTTTTTACTTTAAAATTAAAGGCTACTAAACAGACACATTTTCCATAATTTTTCTATTACTTCACGCTATGGTCCCAATGTCATCATATTCTTCAATAAAGTCTTTAAAGTAGGGGCTAACTATCACGAAGCAAAAATGTTAAAGTAAAAATTCTATAATCATTAGTAAAATGGTTGTAGGTTTTTCTCTAGAAATATTTTCTGACATGTAGCCTATGTGGTGACAAATTGGTGTGAATAGCGACTAATTTTTGGAAAATATTACTGAATGTACATGTAGTTTATGTTGTCTGTATAAGAATTTATGTAGAATTTACCAATACACCTTGTCATGCACTGTAAGTTAACTGCTTGATCATATTTCGGCAAAGGGATATAAATCGCAAGAATCATAATTCTTATTTACATTTTAGCTTCCCTTGAATCTTTTTAGCGCAATTTCCATACTGACAATTGAAATTATTAATTCGTTCTGGATGGATGTGTGTCCGCAGCTTTAAGTCGTATCTCCTTCTCAACGAAGCAATATCGAGGACTAGTTCCAAAAGCAAATATGTTAAGCAAGTCACGAGGATGATTGTGGGCCAAAAAAATTCCCGGAATTCCTTCCTGGATTTCCCGGAAAAGCCAAAAAACCTCGAAAAAATGCAGTTTTTGGCCCATATCTCGGCAACCAGGCCACTTAGCGACTTGAAACATTTACCAATCGATTCCTGCCATAATTTAGAACAATATTGCCGAAGAAAGTTTTCAAAAATATCCTTTTGTTCGGTCACAAAAAAATAATTATTTTAGTATTAAGAAGAGTTTTGGATTGCGTTCTGTTTTTAAAATCGTTTTGAGGTGACATAAGTCTAAAGAGATTCTCCTATCTTATTTTTTTTTATATTGTCTGACGCTCTGAAGTTTAATCTGTCTGTAGCTTGTATACGTATAATGACTGTTAACTATTGTATTAGATTGCAACAACTGTTGCACTTTCACATCTCCTAAAGGCTTTCATATATCGGTTGTCATTACTGGGACAGTTTTTTGTGTGTAATAAACTGGCTTTCAGAACATAGCTAATTTTTTTTAACCGGATCAACGTTTCTAGAGTTTTATTCACAGTGTTACCTTAGTGTTGTACTTTATTATGTTATAGATGTTTAAGATTAAATATCTTTAACTTTAGAAGCAGTGCTTTAGACAGCTATTGAGATTGCTGGTTAATTAATGTGGTCGACTTCTCCTAGCTGAAATGATAGCACCGCTCTTTGAGGAGCCAGGCCTAGTTAGTTACTCCCCCAGAGGTGGGTGGGGGTCACTGCTCCACTCCCGGGACCCACTTAGTGAAACCAACCAGACCTTCACGTATGACAGATGTTGGTGGGTTCACGTCAACTCAATACTAGTGGGAGGGGCTGCTTTCATCTTGGGTTTGTTGTTCTCGACTACTTTGTACTTTATTCTAAAGTTTAAAAAAAATATTTTAAAATTTGCTTGATTAAAAAAGAAAGCGAAGATTTCACAATTTCACATTTGTGTTGTATTTCCTTTGTGCGGAAAATAATAATTTAACGGAGCTTGACCTATATTTGTTAGCCAATAGTATAGTGATTTTTTTTTTACCTTTGAAAATTTCTTCACTGTATTTTATATTGAAATACTGTCTGTATATGATTAAACAAGTCTAAAAAAAAATCTAACTACTAAATAGAAACATTAACTATTAGAGAAATTAAGTTTGAGAATACTTAATGTATTAGTGTTGTGTTCAGTCTTTGCATGTAATCTATCTCTACTATGCCGAAGTTAAAAGTTTCATTATATGGTCCTTACCAAGGTGTACTTAAAATCTTAATATGGTGACTCCTTTGCATTATCCTAGTCTCTTAAAAAGATGGATTTTCTCCTGACTTTCTCTTCGGGGTAGGGCACAACCCCCTACCCCCCAAAAACGAAATATATTTTATGTACACTATATACTTCTGCCAGTGTCCCCCCCCCCCCCCCCCCGAAGAAAAATGTCTAAAAGAAACCAAGGCTATCTCCATCGGTTATCCCGACTTGAGCAGCATTAATGTTATATTTTAACCACGGCTGGTAATTCAAGGACGATAACTCGTGCCTCCCGCGAGTCGTCCCCCATGAATACAAATGGTAAAATGTTGGGGGCGGACGAGATCCATTTAGATGGAGTCCTTTGAAATCCCGGCCTGGTCGTGCCATTAGCCTGAGCTGTTGACACGCTGCTAACCTTTCCCCTCTCTTGTTTACATCAGGCATCCATGGTTGATTGTTTTGTTTGATCATCATTGTCTCCTTGGATTCTACCCCCACCCCACTCACCCCTTGCATTCCCCCCCCCCCCCGCCCATATACCCACATCGACGGTAGTCGCACCCTATTTTTGGGGAGATGGATTTGAGCTATATCTTGTGTCGATGTGGAGAAATTCTGAGCGAAAGAGCGTGCGGTTGGAGTGCTGTAAGGGTGGGTGGCGCCATTTTCAACCACATACTAAACTCATGTTTTTAATGTGTACCATGAAGAGAAACAGCTTTTGTGGTATAGGTTGTGGAGGGGGAGGGTTAACAAGAACAATATGTAATGCATCCTTATTTAAAATATAGCTTTACTACACCCTACTGTGGAAGGAAGGTAAAAAAAAATCTAATAGTGCATACCATTTGTATTTTATAATAATAACTAGCCGTCGGTAACCTTTACACGTGAATTATAGGTCTATATATTTTTAATGTTATACATTTTTTAGAAGAATATTTTATAAAATAGTTATTGGTCAAAACTCAATGTGCTTTACTACAGGTTTAACGCTATTAGTGACAAAGGGTGTCATCCATAAATGACGTCACGCTTTTTTTTGACGATTTTTACCCCCCCCCCCCCCTCCGTCACACATCGTCACAAAAAGCAAGAACCCTCCCCCCTAAAAGGACGTCACACCTCAGCCTTCAACCCCCCTCAAAATTGCAGTTGAATTTTTTTTAAATCTTTTTAAACATTTTTCCAAAATTTTGTCTGAGCTCTGTCAACATAGAGTATTTTAATCAATTCCTATTACAATTTATCAAAACAGTTTTCTAAAACGCGATAACGTCTAATATTCGTTTTCTAACATTGCTTTTTTTATAATGCAAAAGTGTGACGTCGCACCATCTGACCCCCCCCCCTCCCCCTCATCACACACCGTCACAAAAATACGGACCCCCCCTCCCACCTACGAGTGTGACGTCATTTATGGACGACCCCAAAGTAAAGAAATAACTAAATAGCTAAAAGTCCGACACATTTAAAATAACATAGGCTACTAATACCTATTAGAAAAATATGCTAATAGTTCCGACTCAACTGACACTACTTTCAACTCTTACTCAACAGTGACACCAGCGAGTAAAAACGTTTTTTTGTTTTTTAAAAAGAAGAATACATTGTTTTCGTATTTTAATAATCCACCTTATGCCATTAACAACATGCGTGGAATCGTTCTGGTTTTTTTAAAGTTTCTTCTTACATGTTATTGTAACTCTTGGTGATCCCCCTTTTTCCACCGTAATTGAAAATTGAGACCGGCTACTACTTCTCAACCATCACTCCCACGCCAGCGAGTTTTTTTTTTCGCTACAAGACTTTAATTACAGTTAAGGCACGGCTACTTGTTGTGGTCACACTGGCACTGACGTTTTTAATTAGTGTACCAATTAACCGAGTACTTGGTTTGGATACAATTTCAAAGTCGTAAAAAGCTCTTGGTAGATCTGTTACGGGCATGGGTACCTTTTTCTCATTCATGCTAGCTTCGTTTCTAAATAGTAAATACGTGTACGTAGTCAATATTAGAACCTCACAAATACTAACGCCCTCTCTAAACAACATTAGCACCTCACAAGTACATATATCACCTCACAAACACTAAAGCACCACACAAACAGTATAACACCTCATAAATACCATAGCACCTCGCATACATTATGGCACCTTCCAAACATTATAGCGCTTCACAAACACCTTAAATATCACTTCACACACATTATAACACATCACAAACATTATGGCACCTCAGAAATACCTTAACACCCCAGAAACACCATGGCACCTCACAAATACTTAACGCACTCTTTAAATAACCTTAGTGCCCACAAACCTCCTAACATGTCCATTCATGTTGTTAAAGCCACTAATGTTTCTCTCACACGCTCACCACAGACCCTATACGTCATTGGCATCATGTAAAAGGTGTTTTCTGGTCTTAAAGTACGCAAGTAGCTGTTAGCAAGCTTGATATCTTGTAGTTATTGATTTTTTTTTTACTTTCTACCTGAAGAGCCAATTGTAAAATATCAAATACATGTGACTGTTAATAATTTTTTTTTTACATGTGTATACTTATGTCACGTACAACAGTTGGTCTGTTTCTTGGAAAACATCAGTTTTGTTTTCTTTGATAATACTTTTTAAAGTTAAAACAAGTCTTGTTTATAAATACTATTTTAAGCACTCACACATTGATTGAATACAACAAAGGTTTTACAATAGTTTATTTCTGTTTTATTGTATTTTCAATTTGTCATAATATCTACAATTATATTGTAATACACGGATGAAACTAAAACAACCTTTTTAAAAATTCAAAGCCTGTTGAACTTAGTGTAGGAGGCTTAATTTTAATAGTGTTATTTCAACCGTTTTTAATATAAACCACGAATGGATTCTTAACAAGAAATCCTACACAATCATTTAGTTTATGGGTGTCACTTGTGGCTCCGTGTAGGCGTCCAGGCTAGAGAATAATTTTTTTTATGTTGAAATAAAAATAACAGTCTGTTCTAGCTATAATTCGATAACAATGTTCTTTTTCAAGTTGTCTAATAAAGTATTCTTGAAGCTAGAGTTCCATGATCCCTGTTAGTTGAAATAAAAATAACAGTTTGTTCTAGCTATAATTCGATAACAATGTTCTTTTTCAAGTTGTCTAATAAAGTATTCTTGAAGCTAGAGTTCCATGATCCCTGTTTGTTGAAATAAAAATAACAGTTTGTTCTAGATATAATTCGATAACAATGTTCTTTTTCAAGTTGTCTAATAAAGTATTCTTGAAGCTAGAGTTCCATGATCCCTGTTTGTTGAAATAAAAATAACAGTTTGTTCTAGATATAATTCGATAACAATGTTCTTTTTCAAGTTGTCTAATAAAGTATTCTTGAAGCTAGAGTTCCATGATCCCTGTTGTCTGGCGTGAGACTCGCTGAAGTCTAGCACTAATCCGCTGTTGTTTTGGCTGTACTTTACATCTTGCTGTCTCTGTTACAAAAATTGAGAAAATATGACCTGACATTGTGGCTAGTTAAGATGAGTAATACAATGAAATGTCGATGTTATTATGGTGTTTGCAGTTGTAATCTAGCATAGACGCATACATTTACTGCATTGTGGAGTAATTGACATTCAGTTTTCTTATCATAAGCTGCTGTCTGATTCTTCGTGATGTTGTCTTGACGTTAATTAGACGCATGTTTTTTTAGGTAAATGTTTTCTAATGGCAGGGGCTTGTAATGATACGATCATCGCGATCTTGTTTTACCCTTCCGGGTTGGAGTGGGGTGTTTTTGTTCCAGGACCACGGATTCGATTGGTTCTTGGTACATTTTATATTGGTTATTTATACCATTCACTCACACCAAGTTAATTGTTTGTCGAAGGACTACAATCTACCCTAAAAATGTCTAGGTCTTCTGTGGGTACTATTTCCCTGCCGTTTTTTTTTAACTCACATGTTAAATACAGGCATTCTTTATAATTATTATTTGACTTTTATCCATCTTTATTTTTATTGTGGTGGAAGGGGAAATGCTTTTCGAGACTTTGGGTAGATTGTTTATGTTCCTTTAGCAACCCCTTATAAGCATATGTTGCACAAGAAAGTTGCTCTGTAATACCATCCTGTAAATAGTGTTGGACCATATCTTACCGTGTTTTTAATTGTTAGTTGTTTCTTTAGCAACCCCTTATAAGCATATGTTGTACTAGAAAGTTGATTTGTAAAACCATCCTGACAATAGTGTTGGGCCATATCTTACCGTGTTTTTAATTGTTATCACGGCTAGCCTGTTGAAGCAGCCATAACAAATCCATGACGGAGTCTTCTTGCTGCATCCTTTTCCCCATCGTCCCAGGTTCCCAGCCACCTGAAGCATAAAACGTTCATGTATTTCAAACTTTAATAGCATGTGTCATAACAGCATAACTTCTGACTAACGAAACGTCTTTTGACCAACAGCATGTCAGCTAACTGCATACCATCTGACAAACAGCATGTCAGCTAACTGCATACCATCTGACCAACAGCATGTCAGCTAACTGCATACCATCTGACCAACAGCATGTCACCTATCAGCATACCATCTGACAAACAGCATGTCAGCTAACTGTATACCATCTGACCAACAGCATGTCAGCTAACTGCATACCATCTGACCAACAGCATGTCACCTATCAGCATACCATCTGACAAACAGCATGTCAGCTAACTGCATACCATCTGACCAACAACATGTCACCTAACTGCATACCATCTGACAAACAGCATTTTAGTTAACTGCATCCATCTGACCAACAACATGTCAACTAACTGCATACCATCTGACCAACAGCATGTCACCTAACTGTATACCATCTGACCAATAACATGTCACCTAACTGCATACCATCTGACCAATAGCTTGTCAGCTAACTGCATACCATCTGACAAACAGCATGTCACCTAACTGTATACCACCTAACCAACAGCATGTCAGCTAACTGTAACCCACCTGACCAACAGCATGTCAGCTAACTGTAACCCACCTGACCAACAGCATGTCAGCTAACTGTAACCCACCTGACCAACAGCATGTCAGCTAGCTGTATACCACCTAACCAACAGCATGTCAGCTAACTGTAACCCACCTGACCAACAGCATGTCAGCTAACTGTAACCCACCTGACCAACAGCATGTCAGCTAGCTGTATACCACCTAACCAACAGCATGTCACCTAACTGTATACCATCTGACCAACAGCATGTCACCTAACTGTATACCATCTGACCAACAGCATGTCACCTAACTGCATACCATCTGACCAACAGCATGTCACCTAACTGCATACCATCTGACCAACAGCATGTCACCTAACTGCATACCATCTGACCAACAGCATGTCAGCTAACTGCATACCACCTGACCAACAGCCTCTCATCCCTTCTCTCTTTCTTTCCGATCTTAACTGTAATATTGGAAGGGATTTTCTTCCAACATAATTTAGTATTATGTCTCAATCTGTTATGCGCAGTTGACTTGAATTTACTTCCTAAGGTTTTGTCCATCCAAGAACAAATTACAAGGCACCAGTTGTTTCAGTTTGAGATTCTCTTCAAGATTGGGTTGCTGTTTCCAGCCTCATCTGCTCGGGGTTCGAACTCGGGACTTTTCGGTTTATCAACCAAAGAGCTTTACCAACCCGACCACGCCGACCTTACATCTCATCTGACCAACAACCGCAACCATATCAGACATTACGCTAAAAAACCTAACAAAATGATACCAATAGTAGCCTTTTGAATACTATTTTCAAACAGAAACGTTTACAAACCTGCTCCGTGGTTTGCAGTTCCTATATCACCGCATATAATTTGCGTCATTCGCTAATCCAAACTTTAACAATCATGACAATTGACATGCATCTGATATCTTTGGTTTTTCTCGTTTAAATTATTTCTGTCTCCATTTAATTAGAATAGCAAAAACACTGAATCACGTTTTTACGCAAAATAAAGCTTTACATGATTGGGATTTTTTTTCTTCCAGAGAAGCCAGTTATCGTGAATATTCATCTTCCAACTTGTTCAAAAATACTTGCTAATGCAGGCATATCTCTGATCAAATGTCTAATACTGTTGCTATAATGTATGCACTCTACAACGCCTATGTGCCGCTTGCAGTGTTGATAGTCCCAGTTTACTATATTTGTTACTTCAGCAGCTTCACTTGCCTTTAGATCCAGCGGTCTTACTTCAGCAATCGTGTTTTGGTAATATTTAAGTCCGAGGAAATTGTATGTACTTGGCATAGCTGGTGTGCAGTGTACATTTTCTTTTACTTCAGCTAAAGGCGTGTTTGCCTTTAAATCCAGCGGTCTTACTTCAGCAATCGTGTTTTTGTAGTGTTCAGCTAAGTCAGGGGAAGACAATCGCTGTAGAGAGAGGAACCTAAATTCACGTTCCTGCGTACAGTTCAAATGATATGGTAGTGCTGACTTTAAAAATCGATGAAATTCCATTAAACAAATGTAACCATATAATCCCTATTAACATATTTGTTAGTGGTCCTGACCATGATTAAAAGAGCTGTATTTATTCAAGCAACAGCTGCCTACAGTCGCACAAATGAAGGTTGTTGACTACTCTCCTAACTTATTCAGAGACTCGTGATGTCACTGTCACACAGATCAGCACATACCGGGTCTATTTCAGTACTAGTATATAGCTTGTAGGGACGGTGTGGTAGAATAGTAGAGCTTACAGCTGCTAGCCCGAAAGACAAGAGTTCAGATCCCGAGTCCATCCAGCTCCAAAGGTTACCTGACTCACGTTAGGAAACCTTAGGCGGCTGGGTATTGTTCTGATCACACCACCCCCTCTGATCACACTACCCCCTAGTATTTCGAGTTCATTGAAACAGATTAACCCAATTCCTTCTGCACCATGTGTCTTGGGCACGAACGGGAAAAGATGTTGATATACCTTGTGACATTAAAAAAAAAAGTTTTCTTTTACGGTGCTTTTATAAAAATAAATTTACGCTTTTTAAAACCAAATTTGAAAGGATTTAACGATACACAAAAAAGTCATCTCTCAACCTTAAAAGCCCTTCAGTCTCTATAGAAGTCAGACTTTCTCCCGTCTCCTCAGAAGTACTTTTTTTCACGATGACGATGCTTTTATATGTGCGCTGCATGCTCATTTTCGTTTATTTTTTTCTCTCCAACATTAGACAAATGATTCTAATGAGTTTATATTTGCTCCATGACGACATAACCGAGCTGGCTGTATCAACTAGAATGTATGTTTCCATGTCGTGAATGAGCCATTGATTGCCCGTCGTCCCAGCAGTTTGTTGGCATCGTGTGATAGAGGCAGCATGCTAACTGGAGGGAAGCCCTTGTAAACCTGATTGCCTTTTGCTCCAGGTTCCACACTTGTACTTACTGGAATATTTTCCAGTAGCAAATTAAGTCTCGCTGCTTAAAAGAATGACGCAATAGGTTGCAAACGTGACTTGTAAGTTATACGGTAGCGCATTTAATCGCTATCTTAACCGTTCTAGGTTCAAATACTGGTTGACCACGCTATTTTTATAATCAAACAAAATATATATATTGTCTATAGAAACTCACCGTGCTATTCTAAAAATCGTTTGGTGTCTTCCTCGTGTTTATTAAAATAATAGATATCTTGTATCTTACTATACTTGATAAATCCAGTTAACCTTCTAGGCGGAATAAATTCATGATCTGTTCATTGCTCTCCCGTTATCTAATGTAGAGTATCTGTATTTAGAACAATTATTTGAAAATCTATAGATTAATGAGCGCTCGTCCATTTTTTTATTATCTCTGCAGGTGTTATTTATAAATGCACTTTCAATAAAATAGCAACATCTCGGCTTACAGATGTTAACATTATTTTACACATAATTTGTCTAATTTAATAATTCCTAAACGGTTCTTTTGTTTAATCAATATCCCTGGCTGTTGTATAAATTAAAGTTAGTAAACCACAGCGAATATCCAACCGTTATTACTAATTAGATCCTTCCCATGTCATCTGTGTCGTAACCTTTTAGATCAAAGTAGATTACATGACAAAAATGATTTGGAAAAATGTTGAAAGCATGCGCCGGTTTATTTTGAACCGCTGCGCTATTTAAATTCGCTAAATTACTGGAACATATATTTTAAAATTCTAATTATCTTGACAATATAATTACTGTTATTTCTCCTCCATAGTTTTCTTTTGATAAGTTATACAGAGGATGTAAAGTGCCGTTTAAATGCATGTTTACTACTGTAATCTACTTCCTCTTTAGAAATAGAATCATTGCTAAGGAATCTTGTGATCAGTGTTTCTTCCAGACTTTTTTTCTCCGACGGGACTCCCCCTCCTCCCCCACACCCGAAGAGATGCCTGGAAGAAACTCTGAAGCTCAACTATTCAGGTCGAGGTGACACACTTCTAAAGTAGTTGTAAACGAAGTCTAATGTCGATTTCATCCACCGGCGAGTTAAGGGGAAAACTAAAGGCTAACAGCACATCACAACGACGATTCAAGACTATGACTGCTTTATTTGGACAAATGTCACCATGTGCATATTTTAGCTGCGAGCGAAGCTTGAACTTCAAGGAAAATGGTTTGGATCTAATTAGCTGGATACGGGGCAATAAAACATATACACTTTAGCGCTTCTTCCCCTAGGGATTGTCTGACATAATTCAAATAACGCCGTAAAAAGTCTTTGTTTTCGTTAGATTGCTTTAGTGCTATAACTGTTAGAAAGTTTTTTTCTTTTTATCTGTACATCAATATTTACTCCGAAAATTGCAATATTAATCTTGATAAAAACAACGTAAAACGCATTTTGCCATATACAAGATCGATCAGCTTTTGTTGGCTGTTCAGTGAAGCTTAATTTTGGGTCTGCAATTTCAAAGTTTTTATTGATGGTATAAACTCATTTCAAATACATAACTCTATCTAGATACACCGAAGCGCCATCTACCGTAGAAATTAAACATCTTAATACATAACTATCGGCCTACCTGATGTAACAATGCTTGGTATACCGAGGCTCCCTCTGCTGTAAAACTTAACACAATTTGCCTACCTGATGTAACAAGGCTTGGTATGCCGAGGCGCCCTCTACTTTAAAACTTAACACAATCTGCCTACCTGATGTAACAAGGCTTGGTATGCCGAGGCGCCCTCTACTTTAAAACTTAACACAATTTGCCTACCTGATGTAACAAGGCTCGGTATGCCCAGACGCCCTCTACTGTAAAACTTAACACAATCTGCCTACCTGATGTAACAAGGCTGGGTATGCCCAGGCGCCCTCTACTGTAAAACACAATCTGCCTACCTGATGTAACAAGGCTTGGTATGCCCAGGCGCCCTCTGCTGTAAAACTCCTGCACCGGTGGGGTCTCCCGACGGGGTGAAGGTCTGCTGATGCTGACTGCTGGCACCACGTCGCGCCCTATGGAGCTGTAGACGGAGCAGCTGGGCCCCCAGCCGGAGCACGCCGTGAACAGCTGCCGCTTCTCTCGTGCGTCCACTGTACACGCTGCCAGCACACATGCAAACAGGAAGTACGTCATCGACACCGTTGATTGGTGGGGCATGTGTGGGCGTGGCATTCTGCATAAATAAAAGCGACACCATGCTTTGTTATAATTCAGATACCTAAGCTAGTCAGGGGAAAAAAAACTTCTTTACGCTATGCATTGTGGGACGGAATGGCCTAGCGGTAGAGAGCTGGACTGCTAACCCGTAGGTCTCGAGTTCAAATCTGGGTTCAAGTCAATAGACCGTCCCTGAGTCAACCCAGCTCTGATGGGTACCTAACTCAGGGTACCTAACTCACGTTAAGGAAAGTAAAGGCGGCTGACCACACTATCTCTTCATATGCCGAGGTCATAGAAACAAGTGAACTCTACTTCACTTGCTCCATAAACCGTCAGGTTTGAAAGGGAATTTTACTTTACTACGCTATGCTTTGTGTTATTGGACTGACTAATGTCCCCGTAATGCACTTTTTAAAAAAAAAAACCGGACCCTGTTGAGAAAATCAGGGTAGACTAGAGAAGCAGTACAACTGTGCGTCTATAACTAAATCGATTGTGTAACTATTATGTACTGTCTTTCCGTCTTTCACCTCTCCCCAGAGGCGTAGCGACCCTTCCCGGCGCACGGGGACAAACTTTTCGATTTGCACCCCTTCCCTCAAACTTTCGATTTGCACCCCCCCCCCCCCTCTCTCAAACTTTCAATTTGCACCCCCCTCAACCTTTCAATTTACTTTTCCAACCCATTTTGGCGCCCCCTAAGGTCGGCGCCCGGGGACATATGTCGTTCCCCCCGCCCCGCCCCCCCCCCCCCCCTCGCTACATTACTGCCTCTCCCCCATGATACGCCGAGTTAGACGTGTATCTAAACGTTGGAGATATTTTGGCGCGTCCAAGACATCTCATCCCTATAAAGTAGTATTCTATCAGGGAGTTATCAATAACATTCAATTAAAGCTGTTCTTAATTGATTTCAGATTGTTTTTTTAAGGTGTAGGTTAGCACAAGCATTTCATTCAAAGCTTGGGGGTCGATATTCAAGGCATAATGAAATCCTTTCTTAAAAATTGTTAGTTTTCTTCCATTTATGGAAAGTATTGTCGCAAGATTCTGGAATCCTATTAGGATGAAACAGATATAAACATCATTTTTTTTTTCTATTTCTAGCTAAGATTATGTCAAAAAATTATTTTCTGGCCTAGTTTTGTGTAATATGTTCCGTATTGTGTTGCAATACATGCACGTGAAATAGTATACCGCGGTATAACAGGGCGGAGCCTTGCATGTAGGTCATTCGAGAGATGCCGAAGAGTCGGTCACTTGAGAGACTGTCGCCAGAGAGTCGGTCACTTGGGAGATTTTCGCCGGAGAGTAGGTCACTTGGGAGATTTTCGCCGGAGAGTAGGTCACTTGGGAGATTTTCGCCGGAGAGACGGTCACTTGAGAGATTGTCCATTAGAGACGGTCACTTGAGAGATTGTCCATTAGAGACGGTCACTTGAGAGATTGTCCATTAGAGACGGTCACTTGAGAGATTGTCCATTAGAGTCGGTCACTTAAGAGATTGTCCATTAGTGACGGTCACTTGAGAGATTGTCACTTGAGAGATTGTCCATTAGAGACGGTCACTTGAGAGATTGTCCATTAGAGACGGTCACTTGAGAGATTGTCCATTAGAGACGGTCACTTGAGAGATTGTCCATTAGAGACGGTCACTTGAGAGATTGTCCATTAGAGACGGTCACTTGAGAGATTGTCCATTAGAGACGGTCACTTGAGAGATTGTCCATTAGAGACGGTCACTTGAGAGATTGTCCATTAGAGACGGTCACTTGAGAGATTGTCCATTAGAGACGGTCACTTGAGAGATTGTCCATTAGAGACGGTCACTTGAGAGATTGTCCATTAGAGACGGTCACTTGAGAGATTGTCCATTAGAGACGGTCACTTGAGAGATTGTCCATTAGAGACGGTCACTTGAGAAATTGTCCATTAGAGACGGTCATTTGAGAGATTGTCCATTAGAGACGGTCACTTGAGAGATTGTCCATTAGAGACGGTCACTTGAGAGATTGTCCATTAGTGACGGTCACTTGAGAGATTGTCACTTGAGAGATTGTCCATTAGAGACGGTCACTTGAGAGATTGTCCATTAGAGACGGTCACTTGAGAGATTGTCCATTAGAGACGGTCACTTGAGAGATTGTCCATTAGAGACGGTCACTTGAGAGATTGTCCATTAGAGACGGTCACTTGAGAGATTGTCCATTAGAGACGGTCACTTGAGAGATTGTCCATTAGAGACGGTCACTTGAGAGATTGTCCATTAGAGACGGTCACTTGAGAGATTGTCCATTAGAGACGGTCACTTGAGAAATTGTCCATTAGAGACGGTCACTTGAGAGATTGTCCATTAGAGACGGTCACTTGAGAGATTGTCCATTAGAGACGGTCACTTGAGAGATTGTCCATTAGAGACGGTCACTTGAGAGATTGTCCATTAGAGACGGTCACTTGAGAAATTGTCGCTGGAGAGGCGTTCTTTTGAGAGATTGTCCATTAGAGACGGTCATTTGAGATATTGTCCATTAGAGTCGGTCACTTGAGAGATTGTCCATTAGAGACGGTCACTTGAAATGTTATCAGTGGAATTAGTCAGTTATAAGAGATGATGTTGTAGTAGAGTCGGCAATTAGTTTATAGCAAACATAATTTGTTTGTTTAATACCAATGGATTGATGTATATTTCTAGTATTTCGTTAACCTTACCTATATAACAGACTAAATAATTGTAAATAGGTCCTAACATCTGGGGAGAGGGGAGATTTTTTTTATTTGCTGTAGGTTTTTTTTCTTCTCCAAAAGCTGACAAAAGTATAGACCAGCTGTAAAAGTGCACTACCTAACGAGAGAACCTTCTCTTTAGTATTCCATGATGTGAGTGACGGATGTTTACTCCGGCAGAACCACGGCGTATCTTATCATTAAATCTTATGGTACGCGATGCTAGCACAACACAGATATCGCTGACCCGTAGGAGATGGGCATTCTTTTCTAGTTGTTTTTTTTTTCTGTCGTCTCTGTCACTGACAGTTTTAATCAACTAATCGATCTAATTTCATCCATTACTATTGTATCCGACTTCGGCTTCTCAATAGTCCTATTGTAAAGTCTAATAAAACATTAAACGACCATCAGGAACATTTTATATATATATAAATATAAATAAATATATATATATATATATATATATATATATATATATATATATATATATATATATATATATATATATATATATATATATATATATATATATACGTATTGTGTATATATGTAAAAAGATCCACAACTAAATCATGTACACATAAGGCTAACATAGTACTTTCTGAGTGTAAAACAAACTCAAGTTTGACTCCAACACTCCCTTTATTCCTTCTAATTACTACCTTTTGAAAGTTTCTTTAAGGTCAGACTTTGTTTTCCAAATCTACTCACCCACGTTTTGAGTCATTTTATTTTTTAAATGCAGCTTGGTGTGTGTTTGTGTGTGTTTTGCGTTGTTTAATGATGCTCCCGTGGATTACTTTGATGAGATCATTTCCCCCAAAAAAGTTTGAATGCTCTAAACAGCTGATTGAAATTCATCGAGTTGAAAACGTCTCGCTTGTCTGTGTTGGGACATTCCCATTCAGATAACAACGTGTATATTTATTAGAATTTTATTTTGGTTGACAACAATAATGTTGGCGCCCCGTGTCCCTGATAGACGATCTTCTCTGGCATAATGGATGTGCCATAAAGGAGAGGCCTAAAGTAAATTGTCATCAGCCCGGTTTGGTCTGTTTTTAGTGCAAGATATTGCTAACCAGAAAGTTGGGTTTCTGCATTTTGGTTCAGGTCTCTGATAGGTGTCTGACCGTAGTAACCCAGCTCTGAGATGTATCTGACCGTAGGACGTCCCTGTGTCCACCTAACCCAACTCTGAGATGTATCTGAGAGTAGGACGTCCCTGTATCCACCCCTCTTATAGGTGTCTGACCGTAGGACGTCCCTGTATCTACCCCTCTTATAGGTGTCTGACCGTAGGACGTCCCTGTATCCACACAACTCCAATAGATGTATGGTTGATGGTGACATTTTTTGTTTATGTTTAAGTAAAAAAAATAAACATATGCTCCTTTACCTTCCAGGTTGGATATGTAAGGGCACTTTAGTTCTACGTTAACCCTGGTCATATGATTAGCGAATGTTTTTGTGGGGCCAAATATTTTATCACGTCGGCAAAGCTATTGGTAGAACCTGCAAGGAAGAATATTGTTGAGTAACGAACGTAACACATTTATTTGGACCTATTAGGCAGGGCAGTGTACATAAAAGCACAGTTACGTAAAAAGGAAAATTCCCTGAACATTATAGGATAACAGGTTATTAAGTGACAATCTGAATACTGAGTAATTAGAAAATAAATTTAAACCGTAAGGCAAAATCAAACATGAGTCTGTGTCAGTAGGTATCTTTGGTATCAAAATTCGTCTAGAGTTGTGTTTATAAAGATGTTTGCTCAACTTTCTTTTCAAAGTGTTAAAACTGACACAGAATATGTACAATAATTTTGTGTGTGTGTGTGACAGGAACCGCGTCCATTTTATAGCATAACTTGAGTCAAACATGTATCAGGACATAACCTCAAACATGCATCAGAACGTAAACTCAAACATGTATCAGGACATAACCTCAAACATGTATCAGGACATAACCTCCAACATGTATCAGGACGTAACCTCAAACATGTATCAGAACATAACCTCAAACATGCATCAGAACGTAAACTCAAACATGTATCAGAACGTAACCTCAAACATGTATCAGAACATAACCTCAAACATGTATCAGAACATAACCTCAAACATGTATCAGAACATAACCTCAAACATGTATCAGAACATAACCTCAAACATAAATCAGAACATAACCTCAAACATGTATCAGAACGTAAACTCAAATATGTATCAGAACGTAACCTCAAACATGTATCAGAACGTAACCTCAAACATAAATCAGAACATAACC